GAGAGAGAGAGAGAGAGAGAGAGAGAGAGAGAGAGAGAGAGAGAGAGGAGCTATGTCAGTGAATGAGTCCAAGAGAAGAAAGCCAGACCTGTGTTCTTCCCTAGGAGCAATCCCTCAGAGGTTACCTCCCTTAAATCTCCCCTACTCTTTTAGTCTTACCTTGCACTATCACTATTTGATTAACATATACATGACGTTTCTGTCTCAGGGTCAGGCAGGTATTCCTTGGACTACTGGAAGCAATGCTACAGATGAGGCATTTGGAAAATTAAACTGGTCCTGAAGAGCCTTGGGGGCTGTTGGAATTAGATCTAGTTCCATAGGCTAATTTGGTCAAGTATGTTAAGCCTAAGAAGCTATTGTGAGTAGTCTTCTATTGGTACCTATGCCTGTTGTAATTACTTTTCCCATTAGGAAAGGTATTGGCTGAAAACCCCTTATAGGTCAAGATATTTCAAAACAGGGTACCTGGAGGAGCTGGATGAAAGGACTAACTTGGGCAATGAAGGTATTGGTACAGATATCGGATGAATTAGCCATAAGGCAACAAGAAATACTAGTTCTACGTGGGATGAAGGCTCCTGAGGAATTAAGGCACATGGTGATGATTAAATAGAAAAGTAAGTGATTAGGACATTTTAAAAGGAGGATGTTGAGACATGAAAGAAAGAAGTAAAGATGGAGGACATGAGTCAAGGTACGTGATAACTTCAGTCCAAGAATAGTTTAAAAATATATATATCCCTGAGGACCACAAGATGGCTCTGCAGGAACATGTTCTTGCCATGCAAACCTGAGAACTTGAGTTTAGTTCCTAGAGCCCACAAACAAGAAGAGAACTGACTTCTGAAATTATTCTCATGCAATCCATTCAGACATGCCAGCACTCACACATACACATATCATTCACACATATAAAATACATACATACACACTTTGAAATTTCTCTGAAGAAAAAAAGTCTAGTATGAGTTGGGTCATGTAGAAAAAAATATCAAAGGAATATGAGGAAAGAACTTGTAAAATTATGTCATAGAACCCAGAAAAGCAAGAGGAAAAGAACTAGCTTCTCATTGAGATCTAGAGGACATTACGGGTTTCTTACACATGGGATCAGAGATCTCTAAGAGGCTCATGGAAGCAGGCCTTTTTGGACTTCTACGGGTGGAAAAATTTTCACTCTGGACAGATGAAGCCATGTGAAATAGGCCTTACGGCTTAACTACTTTTGGAAACATGAGTAACACTTAATAAAATCTGATCCAGACAACTTTTAAAAAATGTCTTAAAAATGTGGAATGGTCTTTAAGACAGGCACAATCCCCTAGGTTAATGTGAGAAATAGTCATCACTTTATAATAAGAGTACTAGAGACTCTGCAGTTTGAAAGTTGGTTTGTTGCATGACCGTGCAAATATGAGCATCAGTCTAGAGTGACAGGTTTGCTGATTAAGCACAGAAAACAGTCTTTATATCCATAACACAAGCCTCTTCCTTCCTTTCTCCTTTGGTTGAGTAATTAGGAAGGTGTTACATTTGCCTCTGCCACTTAACATTCATCTTTCTCTCAATAAAAACCATGTGTGGGTTCTTCTTGACCTTTTACATCTTGCTTATTTTAAAACTTATCAGGTACATGGCCTTGTTATGTTTATGGCTTGATGGTTAAAAAATTTCTTTCTTTTTTGTACTTTTATCTCTTTGTTTTTTATTTTTTATTCATTTTACATACCAGTCACAATTCTATGAT